GATATGACGTTCCAAAACGACATAACTCCCGCGATATGACCTTCCATAAAATCATCACGTTGTTTTTCAAAATCGAGGTTTTTGCGATAATCGAAACTTTTTCGATGATTTTTTTAATATCTCAGGTAATAGCTCCGCGTGGAGATATGACGTTCCAAAACGACATAACTCCGCGCGGAGATATGACGTTCCAAAACGACAAAACTCCGCGTGGAGATATGACTTCCAAATCGACATAACTGCCGCGATATGACCTTCCATAAAATCATCACGTTGTTTTTTAAAATCGAGGTTTTAGCGATATCGAAACTTTTTCGATGATTTTTTTAATATCTCAGGTAATAGCTCCGCGCGGAGATATGACGTTCCAAAAGGACATAACTCCGCGCGGAGATATGACGTTCCAAAAGGACATAACTCCGCGCGGAGATATGACGTTCCAAAACGACATAACTCCGCGTGGAGATATGACGTTCCAAAACGACATAACTCCCGCGATATGACCTTCCATAAAATCATCACGTTGTTTTTCAAAATCGAGGTTTTTGCGATAATCGAAATTTTTCGATGATTTTTTTAATATCTCGGCTAATAGCTCCGCGCGGAGACATGACATTCCAAACGACATAACACCGCGCGGAGATATGACGTTCCAAAATGACATAACTCCGCGTGGAGATATGACGTTCCAAAACGACATAACTCCCGCGATATGACCTTCCATAAAATCATCACGTTGTTTTTCAAAATCGCGGTTTTTGCGATAATCGAAATTTTTCGATGATTTTATTAATATCTCGGGTAATAGCTCCGCGCGGAGATATGACGTTCGAAAACGACATAACTCCGCGTGGAGATATGACGTTCCAAAACGACATAGCTCCCGCGATATGACCTTCCATAAAATCATCACGTTGTTTTTCAAAATCGAGGTTTTTGCGATAATCGAAATTTTTCGATGATTTTTTTAATATCTCGGGTAATAGCTCCGCGCGGAGATATGACGTTCCAAAACGACATAACTCCCCGCGGAGATATGACGTTCCAAAACGACATAAATCCGCGTGGAGATATGATGTTCCAAAACGACATAACTCCGCGTGGAGATATGACGTTCCAAAACGACATAACTCCGCGTGGAGATATGACGTTCCAAAACGACATAACACCGCGCGGAGATATGACGTTCCAAAACGACATAACTCCGCGTGGAGATATGACGTTCCAAAACGACATAACTCCCGCGATATGACCTTCCATAAAATCATCACGTTGTTTTTCAAAATCGAGGTTTTTGCGATAATCGAAATTTTTCGATGATTTTTTTAATATCTCGGATAATAGCTCCGCGCGGAGATATGACGTTCCAAAACGACATAACTCCGCGCGGAGGTATGACGTTCCAAAACGACATAACTCCGCGTGGAGATATGACGTTCCAAAACGACATAACTCCCGCGATATGACCTTCCATAAAATCATCACGTTGTTTTTCAAAATCGAGATATGACGATCCAAAACGACATAACTCCGCGCGGAGATATGACGTTCCAAAACGACATAACTCCGCGTGGAGATATGACGTTCCAAATCGACATAACTGCCGCGATATGACCTTCCATAAAATCATCACGTTGTTTTTCAAAATCGAGGTTTTAGCGATAATCGAAACTTTTTCGATGATTTTTTTAATATCTCAGGAAATAGCTCCGCGCTGAGATATGACGTTCCAAAAGGACATAACTCCGCGCGGAGATATGACGTTCCAAAAGGACATAACTCCGCGCGGAGATATGACGTTCCAAAACGACATAACTCCGCGTGGAGATATGACGTTCCAAAACGACATAGCTCCGCGCGGAGATATGACGTTCGAAAACGACATAACTCCGCGTGGAGATATGACGTTCCAAAACGACATAACTCCCGCGATATGACCTTCCATAAAATCATCACGTTGCTTTTCAAAATCGAGGTTTTTGCGATAATCGAAACTTTTTCGATGATTTTTTTAATATCTCGGGTAATAGCTCATAACTCCGCGTGGAGATATGACGTTCCAAAACGACATAACACCGCGCGGAGATATGACGTTCGAAAACGACATAACTCCGCGTGGAGATATGACGTTCCAAAACGACATAACTCCCGCGATATGACCTTCCATAAAATCATCACGTTGTTTTTCAAAATCGAGGTTTTTGCGATAATCGAAACTTTTTCGATGATTTTTTTAATATCTCAGGAAATAGCTCCGCGCGGAGATATGACGTTCCAAAAGGACATAACTCCGCGCGGAGATATGACGTTCCAAAAGGACATAACTCCGCGCGGAGATATGACGTTCCAAAACGACATAACTCCGCGTGGAGATATGACGTTCCAAAACGACATAGCTCCGCGCGGAGATATGACGTTCGAAAACGACATAACTCCGCGTGGAGATATGACGTTCCAAAACGACATAACTCCCGCGATATGACCTTCCATAAAATCATCACGTTGTTTTTCAAAATCGAGGTTTTTGCGATAATCGAAACTTTTTCGATGATTTTTTTAATATCTCGGGTAATAGCTCATAACTCCGCGTGGAGATATGACGTTCCAAAACGACATAACACCGCGCGGAGATATGACGTTCCAACACGACATAACTCCGCGTGGAGATATGACGTTCCAAAACGACATAACTCCCGCGATATGACCTTCCATAAAATCATCACGTTGTTTTTCAAAATCGAGGTTTTTGCGATAATCGAAACTTTTTCGATGATTTTTTTAATATTTCAGGTAATAGCTCCGCGCGGAGATATGACGTTCCAAAACGACATAACTCCGCGCGGAGATATGACGTTCCAAAACGACATAGCTCCGCGTGGAGATATGACGTTCCAAATCGACATAACTGCCGCGATATGACCTTCCATAAAATCATCACGTTGTTTTTCAAAATCGAGGTTTTAGCGATAATCGAAACTTTTTCGATGATTTTTTTAATATCTCAGGTAATAGCTCCGCGCGGAGATATGACGTTCCAAAAGGACATAACTCCGCGCGGAGATATGACGTTCCAAAAGGACATAACTCCGCGCGGAGATATGACGTTCCAAAACGACATAACTCCACGTGGAGATATGACGTTCCAAAACGACATAGCTCCGCGCGGAGATATGACGTTCGAAAACGACATAACTCCGCATGGAGATATGATGTTCCAAAACGACATAACTCCCGCGATATGACCTTCCATAAAATCATCACGTTGTTTTTCAAAATCGAGGTTTTTGCGATAATCGAAACTTTTTCGATGATTTTTTTAATATCTCAGGTAATAGCTCCGCGCGGAGATACGACGTTCCAAAAGGACATAACTCCGCGCGGAGATATGACGTTCCAAAAGGACATAACTCCGCGCGGAGATATGACGTTCCAAAACGACATAACTCCACGTGGAGATATGACGTTCCAAAACGACATAGCTCCGCGCGGAGATATGACGTTCGAAAACGACATAACTCCGCGTGGAGATATGATGTTCCAAAACGACATAACTCCCGCGATATGACCTTCCATAAAATCATCACGTTGTTTTTCAAAATCGAGGTTTTTGCGATAATCGAAACTTTTTCGATGATTTTTTTAATATCTCAGGTAATAGCTCCGCGCGGAGATATGACGTTCCAAAACGACATAACTCCGCGCGGAGATATGACGTTCCAAAACGACATAACTCCCGCGATATGACCTTCCATAAAATCATCACGTTGTTTTTCAAAATCGAGGTTTTTGCGATAATCGAAACTTTTTCGATGATTTTTTTAATATCTCGGGTAATAGCTCATAGCTCCGCGTGGAGATATGACGTTCCAAAACGACATAACACCGCGCGGAGATATGACATTCCAAAACGACATAACTCCCGCGATATGACCTTCCATAAAATCATCACGTTGTTTTTAAAAATCGAGGTTTTTGCGATAATCGAAATTTTGCGATGATTTTTTTAATATCTCGGGTAATAGCTCCGCGCGGAGATATGACGTTCCAAACGACACAACACCGCGCGGAGATATGACGTTCCAAAACGACATAACTCCGCGTGGAGATATGACGTTCCAAATCGACATAACTGCCGCGATATGACCTTCCATAAAATCATCCCGTTGTTTTTCAAAATCGAGGTTTTAGCGATAATCGAAACTTTTTCGATGATTTTTTTAATATCTCGGGTAATAGCTCCGCGCGGAGATATGACGTTCCAAAAGGACATAACTCCGCGCGGAGATATGACGTTCCAAAAGGACATAACTCCGCGCGGAGATATGACGTTCCAAAAGGACATAACTCCGCGCGGAGATATGACGTTCCAAAACGACATAACTCCGCGCGGAGATATGACGTTCCAAAACGACATAACTCCGCGCGGAGATATGACGTTCCAAAACGACATAGCTCCCGCGATATGACCTTCCATAAAATCATCACGTTGTTTTTCAAAATCGAGGTTTTTGCGATAATCGAATTATGTATTTATCGTATTTATGTATGTATTCATGAGTGTATTCATGAGTGTATGTATGTATATATATATATATATATATATATATATATATATATATATATATATATATATATATATATATATATATATATATATATATGTATAGCAGTATTTATGTATGTATTTATGAGTGTATGTATGGATGTATGTATGTATGTATGTATGTATGTATGTATGTATGTATGTATGTATGCATGTATGCATGCATGTAAGTATGTATGCATGTGTGCATGCACGCATGTATGTATTCATGTACGCATGTAAGCATGCATACACGCATGCAGATATGCATGCATGCAGTTATGCATTCAGGTATGCATGTATACATATACGTAGAATGCCTGTATGTAAGTATGTTTGTATGGATATGAGAATGAATGCAATCAAGTTTCCGGTGCCCAGCAAGATTTAAAACAAATGCAATTTGAATATTATATAATTTTTTTTTTCATTTTGGTAAATTACAATAAGGCACGTACGCTGCTGTAGGTAAATACCAGTCGAAATATAATTTGTTGGAACAAAATGGGAAAATAGGAACTTGGGAGAAATTTTGAATTTTTTTTTTTGGTTGTATTTATCGCCCGTCATGAAGGCGAATTCTTGAGAACCTGCTCGCTGAACTAATATCTAACGCCAATAAATGTTTAGAGGAACTATTTTGGGGAGTTGCAGGCAACTTCACGCTTGAAGAACTAATCCAAGCAGTACACCAAATGCATCAAGAACTATAAAAATATATATACACACATGTAAACCATCGGGCGAGTGCTTTTGCATTAAATGCTCGTCCAGCCGCAGGTTCAGGCAAAGCTCACCCACCGCATCAGGGCGCTCTTGACATTCGTCCAGAATCTCCGGCGACAGCCCTGCAAACACATATCCAGTTGAGCATCAATTTTATGGATTGTTACTGCACCTACCTCTTGTGTGCGTGCCTGGCCAGCCTCTGTCTTGGTCTTCTGCTCGTCTTCCTCCGTTGACGACATTTCGGTTTCCAAATCGCTCAGATCGCCATCGGCATCCTCGGCGGAGTCGGCGACCGGCGTTGCCTGGCTGTCCACGGCGTTAAGTGCGCCCAATGTGGCTGCAGTTCGTCCAACGAGCTCGGCATCCGTCAAGCCTGGAGTGGCTCCAACGATTGTAATGACGTCAAGGATTTCTATGTATTGAACGACTCTAGTACCTGTTGCGGCTCCCCTGACCAGCTGACTGCCTGGAACGTCCATCTCGGCTGCTTGGTGTTCCGCCTCCGGCATTGAATCGTAATCCGTTCCGGCAGCCTGGGCTAGCTGCACCTCAACAATCTGACCCATATCGATCAGCGGGCCGATATCGACCTGCTGGCCCACATTGACGACTCGAAAATCGCAGAGATTGCCCATCTCACCCAGCTGTGTGCGGAGCTCAGCGATTCGCCCCGAGCGCCGTGGTTGACCCAATTTGGCGGCACCTCTGGCAGCCGACGCGGCTTGCCTGGCCTTGAGGCTGCGGCTGGCCCGGCTCGGCCGACTGGGTCGACTGGTCCCCGCCTCGCACAGTATATCCTCCAGATTGTCGGTGTACGTGATCAGGGATTTCACCTGTTTTGCCGTAATTGTGTTGGCGTTCGGCTTCTTGACGCCCCGCATCGGATTACGTCGCTCTGCAGATGTCAAGACTAGACCGCTGCGCAGCTTCATGTTGTTGTTGGAAGCGTATTTGTTTTTTTTTTTTTGTTTTAGTCAAACAAAAAAAAAATATATATATATGTTTATAAAATTGTATGTCTTACTGGAGAGAGGGATTTGTTGTATTTGTTTATTGTACGAGTTGTTTTGGGCGAATGAGCTCCGATTTTCTCTGCTTCTACTGCCTGAAATTGTTTCCTCTCTCATGTGAACTACGTTCCGAAAGTTTTTACTTTCTTGGGTCAGCCTTGAAACAAAATGGGAATCCAGTTAAAAATACAATCAAACGATATCCACAAACGATATACAATTTACAGAATCTATTGTTTTCGACTTCCTTAAGAATAATAACCTTCAGAGACTTGCATAGAACAAGTTTTATCTCGGAGAGGGGTATGCCCGCTATTGTCCCATATAGATATAGGTCGAAATTTCCCATAACTCTCATTACTCAATTTTAAGCTCTTTGTTCATGGTTTGGCCTCTAGATCTTTTAAGCATCTAAATCTAGCAATATTATACTTGGTCAGAATAAATAAATAAAAAATTTCCCACCCCCATAAAAACTTATCCGGTTTTCATAAGGTCCCCCTTTTTGTTCATGATTGGTCTTCTAAATAGATTTTCATCTAAGTCGGTCATTATTATTATTTCCGAAATTCATGTGAATATCCTTTATAGGTCAAAATTTCCCACAATACGTGTTTCAGCGATTTGAAAAACTTTCGCCCGCCTCGGTTTCAAACTCATTTTCAAAGATCTTTGAGCGAATTTATTTTATACATGCCACGGACAAGGCTGGGATATACCCGCTAGTAAAATATTTCTAAATATCTGATTGAGAAACAGAACGAGAAAAAACTCTTATACAAAGGCCTTTCGATTGGGTATACACCCACGGCTATGTGCTATATGGGCGCGCTGAAAATTCGATAACGATCGGACTCCAAGCTCCGAGCGCTTTTTTTCCGTGTATTAAGTAAGGTTCGAATGCTCGTACAGGGTATCCAGCGGTCGGCAGGCCTTTACTACTTCGCGGTCAAGTGACCGACTGATGAGTCGAGCATGGAATATGTTTTTGGAATATGGACTTTGATAGCAACTGCCACAAGCTATCAATTTGTGGACTTTCATTAAAATAATTACAATTCAAGTGCGGTTAGGCGGACGCAGAAACTAATTCATTAGCGGGCAGCCCGAACCCCCCAAAAAGCCGAAGATGAATCAAAAATAAAAACTGAAAGCAAAATTTATTGCGCGCTGAAAATCAAATGGAAAACGCGAGCCTCAGCGTTGATTGTCCTTGATGAATGATGGGCTGACGAGCTGATGGACTGCCTGATTGACGCAATGACAAACTGACAAACAAAATGAATGACGAACTGAATGACGGACTGCTAATGGTGGTGGCTGAAAGCAGCAAAAGCATTTAGCAAAAAGGCAAAAAACAAAGTTTAAAAAAAAAAAAAAAGAAAATAATAATAATGTAAAAATGGAAGCGACACAGGCGACGGGCGGCACATTGCAATTTATATGCAAACAAACAAATAAGCCCGACAAAGCAACAACAAACCAACCACCCATCGAACCACCCAACCACCCAAACCTAACCAAAGCCCCATCCCCCTCAGGCACAGCCCATTGCGAGTGCCAGTGCTGGCCAGCTTTAGCTCTAAAAACGGCCAAAAACGGCTGGAAAAATTTATGTTTTGGCTATAATAGCCTTTTATTTTTGAAACTATTCACTTTCTCAACGAATTTAGTAATAGGAATATTAAGAACTGCTTTGGTCGCAAAAATATATTCTTTTCACAGTTTCAGAATAGAAAATTTCGGGATAAGCTTCCACATAAGAATAGGAATATAGGGAACTGTTTTGATATATTTTAAAATTATTCGCTTCTCAGCTAAATTGAAAATTGGGAAAATTCGTCTACATTTTTTGACTCTATGCGAAATTTGGGAATACCAGTTTTGGTATCTGGTCCGCAAATTTAAGAATAGAAAATTTGTAACTTGCCTTCTTGAAGAACGCTTCGTCTTAAGATTTGAGAATAGGAATTACGAAATCTGCTTTTATTAATATCTATATCTCAATATCTCTCAATAGCTATATCCCCCCAACTGTCTTGTTTCATTTCTCTTTCGACTAGGCTACGATTTTTTAGCTTTAAGCAAACATTTTGCTTCGTATAAATGCCTGATGTTAGCTGGAAAATAGCTAAATTGTCAATACCGTTTTGTAAAGTTCGTGCCCAACTGACAACAGCTGAAAGTAGCCAAATGCCAGCTATAAAATAGCTAAATTGTCAACACTCTCCTGTGAATCTTCTCTTTCTGGCTGCCTTGTTTCTCGCTGACTGCTGCCGGCTGCTGCATGTCCTCAATTCTCATTCTCATTTCAATTCCCAATCCTCTGTCCTTCAATACTCCATCTACACTCACGCTTCTCTCTGCTCCCTGTGTGTGTGTGTGTGTTTGTGTGTGTGTGTGTCTCGTTCGTTGAACATTTCAATCAACGCTCGAGTGAAAATTGAAAAAAATAAAGGCAAGGATAATGTGACTGCGTTTGTGTCTGTGGTTGAGTGGGTGAATTGTGGTCTTACTCTAGGGTTGGGGTTGTGCTTGTGGTTGGGCTTTGTGGCTGCCGCCTCCTAAGCGGAAATGGATGCGCAACACTTAAGTGGCACAAATTGTGCGCCATGTGTGTGTGTGTCTGTCTGTCTGTCTGTCTGTGTGGAGACGTTGCAAGCTCTGGAACTATTCACAGATTGCGAGTCTATAGTATATTACACACGTGTACAGGTGATATCCAGCGTTCGCTAGGGGCGTGGGCTGAGCGACAAAGCGCGACAAATCCTGTACAGTAAAAATAGAGATTTGCCAAGCTTAGACAATCAAATTTGACAACGTAGCGGCAATCAAGTGCGAATATGCTCTGAAGTTGGGCAACATGGCATTTGTATTAAGCGCTAAGAAGTTTGGCAACATGTCATTTATAATACTCGGCAGGGAGAAGTAGGGTTACATGGCAATTACACTAAATGCTAGGAAGTTTCGCAATAAGGTATTTGCCATATTCATTATGGAGAAGTTTGGCAACATAGCATTTGCACTAACTTGGCAACATAATATTTGTATATGTAAAGTGTAGTAGAATATATGGTTTGTTGCAATAGGCCCTGAAAAGTTGATAGGCGATGAAATGAAATTTGGCAACATAGCTTTTTCTTCAGTAATTGCCAACGAAGTTCAGTTCGAAAATGTATCAATGATGCTTTTAAAATTGGTAACATACCCTAAATATTTGAGAACTGAAGTTTGCTAATATTACAAAAGACATTTTGTGAAGTATGGCAACGTAGCACATAGTAAAAGAACGATCCTGTGGCATTCTGTGTTTGAAAAATAAGGATTATGAAGTTTGGCAACGTAACAGGCAAATTAACTGGGAACTTAAGCTTGGCAACGTAGCACGAGCAACAATTGTTGTACTGTGAACTTTGGCAACGTATCATAGGCAAGTGCTATGCAGTTTGGCAACATAGCAATAACAGAAATTTGGGTGCTGTGCAGTTTGGCAACGTCGCATTAGCACAAATTTAAGTGCTGTGCAGTGAAATGAGTCTCGCTTAGAAAACTAGATGATGCACTGCCGCATTGGCAGTGAGTGGCTGCTGTTCGCTTCGAGTGGCAACAGCCGCTGCTACACGGCGCTGCCCCCTCCCCGCCGCCCCCAACCCGAAGACATTGCCATAACAACCGTTAACCGAAAACACATTTAAAAGCAGAGCAAACCAAACAAATTTCATATAAAAAATAAAAAAGAAGCCAAAAAAAAAAAAAAAAATGCGACGACCAGCAGCAAATCCAAAGTGTAAACATTCACAGCCTTTGTGCGGAGCCACTCTGAGGAATAGGCAAACAGTGGCAAATGGGGGCGCGGGCGGCGAGGCGGGCCGGGCTGCGCTGTGATGGCTTGCGTTGGAAGGGTGGAGGGGAGGGAGAGGGGGAGTGTGCCTCACAGGCAACAGCCAACAGCCAACAGCTTCCTTCCGAGCTGACGCGCTGCGCTGGCTCCTGACGTTTGATGTGCAGCTCCAGACGGCCAAGTGTGTGTGTGCGAAAGGTGGTCTAACAAGCTGTCGGGGTGGGGGAGTATGTGTGTGTGTGGGGGGGGTGTGTGTATCTCTAACAACGCGCCCAACGACCGACTGACAAACGGCAACAGCTAACACGGTATTTATTTCCAAACAAGTCGAAAAGGATACAACAAAAAAAAAAAAAAAATAACAAAATGTATATATGGAGAAGAAAAGAAACGTCATGGATGCGGATGCGGAAGGCACACACATTGCAATTGCTTGGCAACACCAGCAGCAGCACCAGGAGCAGCAGCAGCAGGAGCAGCAGGAGCAGGAGGAGGGGGGACTGCAACATGGGAAGGTCCTTTGGGGGGTGTCGCTAATGAAGTCGCAAACAGGCAGCCGCAGTCAACGTTGCCGCTTTGCATATTCATTAAAAAGCAAAAATATATAAAAAATCAAAATAGCATGTACCAGTTGAGAGACTCGAAGATACCCTGTAATCGACATCTAAAGAGCTGCCGCACAATGCTGCCTTATTATATGGAAAATATATATACCCGTATATGCCCTGATTTTGTTGTGCTTCAAGCTCCTTGAAAGTTTTCGCGGAGATAAAATGCATTTTATCGCTTTTGTATCTTCCTGAGCGATAGATTTTCTGGTTCCCTCTATTTCCAAGCAAAAAGTTAAAAGTCGAAGTGTCCCGACTAAGGTTTACTAAAAAGGCAATTCAATATCTTACTCTAAACAAAATCAGCCCGCCTTAAGGAAGTCCGAACCATTTTCTTTCCGTAAAAGGTTCACTTCGCTTTGTTAATCACTTGGCGAAGAATAAACCTTAAAAAACACACACACTCGATTTGGGCGCCAGCTAATGCATTTATCGAATCATATTTGAGAAATAGTTAGATTTTAAAACGATATCAATGACAAGGCTGAGGTCAAAACCTCGATTCATAAATGTGGAACGAAGCGTTCGAGTAGCAAATTGAACCAGCGACTTTTTTTATTTCGGTTTAGAGCTATTGCCTTCATATTTATAGCCCAATCAAAACGTGTTGCTACCTCCC